ATGGTTATGAATGATCGCCGAATCACAATTAGAGAAGTTGCTGATGAAGTTGGCATATCAATTGGCTCATGTCATAACATTTTTTTAAATGGTTTGGGCATGAAACGAGTGGCAGCAAAATTCATTCCAAAACTGCTAAATTTTGACCAAAAAAGCAATCGCATGAACATCGCTCAAGAGCTGTTAAATGACGTCAACAACGATCCAAGTTTGCTTGAAAGGGTCATAACTGGTGATGAAACATGGGTGTACGGTTATGATGTCGAAACCAAAGCCCAATCGTCCCAATGGAAGAGCCCAGGTGAGCCAAGACCGAAAAAAGAACGTCAAGTTCGATCGAATGTCAAGGTTTTGCTTACTGTTTTCTTTGATTATAACGGCATAGTGCATCAAGAGTTCTTACCACAAGGTCGTACGGTTAATAAGGAGTATTACCTTGAAATGATGCGACGTTTGCGTGAAGCAATCCGAAAAAAACGCTCCGATTTATGGAAAAACAATTCATGGCTGTTGCACCACGATAACGCACCTGCTCACTCGTCGTTGCTTGTTCGTAATTTTTTGGCCAAAAACAATACCGTAGTCATGCCCCAACCTCCATATTCACCAGATATGGCTCCGTGTGACTTTTTCCTATTCCCAAAGTTGAAGAGACCCATGAAAGGACGGCGGTTTTCCTCGATTGAAGAAATAAAGGCCGAATCGCTGAGAGTGCTCAAGGACATATCAAAAAGTGAATATCAAGGGTGCTTCGAAAATTGGAAAAAACGCTGGCATAAGTGTATTATATCTGGGGGGGGGACTACTTTGAAGGGGACCACATTAATGTAGACGAATAAATAAATATTTTTTTGAAAAAACGAAAATTCCGGGTACTTTTTGAACAGACCTCGTATATGTCGCCGGTTCTGTTCTATCTGTAGGCAAGAGGCTGTTTAATTAGCTACTCGAAGATACTAGAACTTTTTTGAGTGGAAGAACGATCAGCACCTTAAAGTACACTGTAGGAGGTAGTGGTATTATCACTAACTGAAACCGAATTAGAACTTCTGATAAGTAGAATGGATAGACACTGGTAAGACAATATATAATCCATACAGAAAAGTAGGGCAACAATTTTAATAATGCATTTTCGTGATGATATGTAAGAATAGTAAGCATACTAAATGTATTTATCAACATTATTTACCTAGCCTATTTTGGCTAGTGGTTCTCATGATCACATCTCAAAATTATTATATATTAAATAATATATAATTTTTACAACAACATTGGATTTTATCTTATATCTTATCTAGGAATTACGTCGGTTCATTATCGATGCATCTTATCAAAAGCCTTGAACAGAAATATTTTTTCAGGTAATCTTGAATCTGTAATACAACGATATTGGTCTGTGAAACTTTATTTTCTATCTCAATACATAATGCAATTCCTTTCAAATGAGTCGTTTACTAAATGAGATTTTCCAAATTTCGCCAGGCATTTATTAATTTGAATCAACATGTTTACCAGACCAATCATTTCAAATAAATAATTTTCTGCATTTCACAATCGTTAAGAACAGTAATAGAACGCCAACTTAAACTAGATCAAATTAAGCAATACATGTCATCCGCGCCAACTCCAATATAAACGTTTTGGACACTTGCTAATTTATAAATTTTATCAAATTATTGTTCGCAGCTTATGCAACATTGTGGCTGTATTATTAGAATCATTTTGATGTTTTGTGTTCGCATAAATTATGGAAAGCTTAATATATATTGTAGGGTTAATTGTAAAACTCTGAGATTATGCTTAAATATTGGTAGCATGAATTAATAAAATACCAATACCAAAATATTTTTTATATAAACATGCACAATGCACCAGCTCATTATTAGCGATTCATTGAAACATCGATACTCGCCAGTTTTATTAGTGAGTTCACATAATCAATTCTATCACAAGTTTTAGAATAAAAATCTTTGTTTTTCTTGTCTCGATTCTACTTCCGATACATTTCAACCAGATATTATAGTTTCAGTATATTAATGAAACGAAAGCTTACCAAGTAGATTTTGATATAATTTCCAACAATATATTTATTTTAAATATATTAGGTTTATATGATAAGTTTTAGATGATTTTAAATAAAAGTCTTTAATGTGAAAAAATTATATATTTATAATTTTTATCATATAGTTTTTCAATGATTATTTGATTTACTAAGTGAGGCAAGAAGCAAAATTCGAAAGAAAACTTGATATATTATAAATATGTGTGTGTGGCTTAATATATATTAGTTGCTGATAGCGTTAATTCAAACTGAATATAAATTTCACTTATAACTGAATATAAATTTGACTTATAACTAAATTTGCGGGCGTATCTTTAATTAAATATTAAGTGTCAAGATTTATTTTTAACTTCCCGTAGGGCAAGTTATAGTAATCGCAAAAAAAATCGAAAATGAAAATTTTTATATATCTTTACGTTTCAGAGGTTTCTGAACATTTTGGCATACCTTAGAAAAAATGGATGTATGTGTGTGTGTGTGTGTGTGTGTATGTATGTATGTGTGTGTATGTATGTGCGGATACAAATTTTCGTCGACGATTTCGGGAACACGGATCAACCGATTTGAATAATTCAAAAAACATTCGATCCGTTTTGATAAGGAGACGTGCTGATTAGTTTTTGGCAAAGGCAGGTGAAGCCGTTCCGAAGACACGGGGCAAAAAGTTCCGAAAACGGTAACTCAGTTTTTAAGAGAACGGAGCGTCCGATTTTAATAATTCAAAAAACATTTTATTTGTATTGATAAGATGAAGAATCGATACAACTTTCATGAAGGTAGGTCCAGCGGTTTCGGAGATATAGAGAAAAAAGTAAAAAAATGAGCCATTTGGCGGTCAAAAATGATCATTAGACATATGCACATCAAATTATCAGACATTTTATAGAGATTTTAACAATGAGTATACATTTTGTTAACATTCCTATCGGTTCCGTACCAATGCTTATGCGTTAGACAGCGACGCGGCGCTTACGCGCTTTATATTTTGTCCCTAGGTAGTTAAAGCAGTACGATTGCTTTGAAAAAAAAGTTCAGATCTTCCACAATATGTCAAAATAAAGAAAAAAAATTTTTTTTCAAAAAAAAAATTTTTAAAAAAAAACTAATTTTTTGTCCAATTTATAGTTTCTCAAAAATCTTATTTTTTAAAACTAATTTTTTTTCAAAAATGTTAATCGTTTTAAAAAAAAATAATAATTTTTGGTACGGGAAGTTCCAGCAATTTGCCTTAAGGCACGATGCCCTAATTGCCTTAAGACAGAATTCCACTTACAGCTAGTTTTATTTTACAATTGACTCGCCAGTGTGACTCACATGCAAAAATGTTTTGTTTGCTGATGCAATAAAATGTCTGATATGAGAAGAATAACATTATAAATCTGATGTTATATGTCACGATCTTATAATAAAAATAACATAAAAAGTAAACCGTTTATAACATCGCATTATTTCCACACTTCATTATACTAAAGGCTCTGTTGATTTTATATAAATTTCACGTAATGTTTCACATGTTCAAACCGAATGATTTAATATTACTTCAATCTAATATTTTAGCTATAATCATTTGTGTTTTTATTAGAAACTGCGAACATTTACTTGGTTGTTGAAATAAAACGAATCTATTGTGGTAGTATGCATAAACCAAGCATCAGATAATGTGTACGTAACTTTGCTAAAATTACTCCAAGTTCTGACAAAGGAATATCATAATTCTCCTAGTTACTACTATTTATAAACACGTTGAAAGCTTTTGTTTTGTTCGCCACAATTGGTTGTATGAAATCAAGCAAATTATTGTAAATGAAAACAACTCACATTTCTATGTTATGTACTCGTATATGCCTAATTTTTGAATTTTTATAATACAGGTCCACAAAATTAAAATAGTTGTTTGTATTAGCGATTTATTTTTTCCAATATATTTTTACCGCTGAACACGAATCTAAAGTCAAAATTGGGTGTCAAACTGCGAAAAATATGCTTAAAAATGTTACAAAGTCTCCGATCCAGAAATGTTTGCATGACAATTGAAATCTTATTATTCCTATCGCTTTCTGGCCATTCTCTCCCTAACTGACCTGTGCAACAGATTTCTGCAACGCTTTTTCATCTTTGTAGAGTATCTTTTTGCAGCTTCCAGCTGTAGTTTCGCAAATATAATGGGTAGTACTGCCCTAGGACAGGTTCGTGAGCTGAGTCAAACTCCAACTCGATTCAGTGAAGAATATTGTGAGAGATTTCCCATTGCCATTAAATACTGCAGTTTCCGAAATGGGCTATTTTCATTTGGAGACATATTTTTGATCTATATTTTCGAACTAAATGGGCATCGCTGCTGCCCGATATCAGGTTGTCCAAAGCGAGATTCAAAATCATTACACTATGGAATATCTATTTGCAAACTGCAAATGTGTGTTTGTAGATTATCTAGGGGCAATGGGGAGTGACTATGTCCGCAAATTTCGGTTATAGCACGGAGTACATGTTCGGTTATAGCACGGAGATTTGTTATATCATTATATTAATATTATTAATAATTATGAAAATAATTGTATATATTACTATTATATCTAATATAATTGTACGAATATTCACAATATAATAAGGGATCGTTCAAGTATTACGTAAGCAGATTTATTACAATTAGTTATCCCTCATCCCCCTTGTCAGCAAAAATAAGCGAAGCTCTTACCCCCTTCCCCCACGCTTACGTAAACATTTTGCAATTAATGTCAAAAAATCAAAATACTACCTATGACGTAATTATCATCCAGACTCCCCTGCCCCCCATGTCAACTCAAAATAAGCAAATCAACAACCCTCCCGCCCCCCTATAGTGCTTACGTAATACTTGAACGGCCCCTAAGCGTTATATGGTTAAATTATTTTCTGATTATTTTTGTAATTATTCCTAACTTTTATTTATATTTACCAGATTCGACTCACGGCGCGGACGGTCCAGCCTCGTGGCGATTGACTCTGGATCAAGATCTGGTCGACACATTGCGTACTCTCTATCCGGACTGGTTCAAATCAACACCAAACGGGGGTGATCTGAGCAACAACAACAGTAACAGCGGCAACAACAACAACAACGATAACTCAGTGGTGGATCAGAATCAGAATTCAAGCAGTGCGGCATCGACAAGCACTACGACTACAGTTCTCGTTGGCGGGGGTAACGGCGGGCCTGTCACCCTCTCAACAGTCCGCCAGGGTCCGCCGCGGACCGCTCTCGTAGTGGTCGCCTCTATGGCGGACGATGGCGGACAACAGAAAAGGAGCAGCGGCCAGGTGGAGGACACGACTGCTAATACCGCCAGACCGCCACCGCTGCTCGTGTCCCCATCTAGAGCATCGCCACCGAAAGCAATTGTCGATGCAAGTCCGCTGCAACAGGCGATGGACAAAAATAAAGAATGTGAGTTTTTAAAAAAAATTAAAATTTGTTTTGGATGCACTGTATATTTATAGTAATCATCGGGTCCCAATGTTACAACATCTATAACTGATTCATGTTATGTCCACAGTTGAATAAAAATCTTGAACTGTTTTGGAAAATGCAAATGTCGCTCAAATTATATGTGTTGGACATCATGCTAGTTAATGAATGATTGATGAAAAGTTGTCTAATTATTAGTAATTAAATATTACCTGTAAATTCGTTTTGTAAAATATTCAAATATTATCTAGTGACTGTGCGATTCATATTATAAACAATCGAACGTACTCTACGTTCGATTGGTGGCATGCAGCGTCCACATAGTTAACCTTATTAGAAAGGTTAATAATGCCATTTAATTTAATTTGCAATTTAATTCGATCATTTTGTCGTTAAAAGATTTTTTATATGTTTTTTTCTTACGATATTTAATTATAAATTTATCGTGATGACAATAGACCAATAATGATAAGTCCAACAATAAAATGTTGTGACTTTTATATTTTTTCGAATTGTTCAATTGTTGTTTGGATTGACAACTACAAATTTTAAATGCTTGTATCTTGACTATTGCATTTTTTTAGAAATTTAAAGTTATAGTAATTTGTCTTATTATTAGATCACAATGCTATGCACTGCTAGTAATATAATCAGATCGCCCGGCAAATTCTCCTGAGTTAATTTGCAATGGCATTGATTGTCAAAGGTCAATCATTGCTTTATATAATTATACCCACGCATATAGATCATATCGACAATATATTCCATAGTTTTTCAATATTTGTTATTCATATACGAAATTCAAATTTATCTAGTTATTAAACACTACAAATTAATATTGAGTGAGTGAATTATTTCAATAGATGAAAATATATTTGAATATATTAACTGCAGTTCATTCACTTTTCTTGTATGTGAGATTGCTTGGATCTAATGACTATGATGCAATTTTTTTGTATATAGTCTCCTGGTGACTTCACACGTATGTCAATTTCGACTAATTTCCAAATAATCGCTAGAAAAGATAAAACATCAGCATTTGACTAAAATCTCTATCATACGAACTTAGTTTCTCGATGAACCAAACAAAAGAAAGTTGTTTAGAACTAGTAAGTATGGAGGGTGGTGAATCAGTCCTAATCATAATTCGTGGATTTTTTTAAAAACTTTTGTAGTTTGAGACGGATCTTTACACTAATGGAACCTAATTTGAATAGGTTAAAGTGTAGTAAGTGGTAGAGTTTAATATTCTCTGACTTTTCTTCAATTGAAATATATCGTTGTATACATTTGTAATTGATTTATGCAATCAATGAAGTTTAGTATGTTACATGTTCTTGTTTCTTAACAATGTAAGATCACATGTGGTTTCATATTGTTTTTATAAATACATATCTTGAATCAAACTTCAGAAGAATTTTTGTCATTCTCTTTAGATACTTTTATACATTAAAATATAATTGGTTTTAAAAATTGAGTTATTAGTTGGTAACATATTAGTAATTTTAATACAATTGGCAGACACTGAATTTGCAGTTAAATGAGGTAATTTTAATTGACAAGCTGCAACATTTGAATACATAATCACTATTATTTTTGAAATATTAGATGAAATTACTTTCTTTAACTACAGCTTTTAAATTAGTTTTTTTTCATTTTTTTATTCCTTTTAATAACGTAAAAGCGAATTCAATCAGAACAAAAAGCTTTTATTGAGAACATTTACTAATTTAATGATAATTACCTGCTATTCTTGTCTTATTTTAATTATCTGAAACACTGCACGTAGACCATCGTAATGTTTACTTAAGCTTTTATAATCCGAACACAACTGGCTGGCATAAAGAGCACGTACAGGGAGTTTTATGTGAATTGTGATCTATTTGGTTATTGATTGCTATTCATACATTAATTGTATATATGTATATATGTATATATATATATATATATGTATATATATTACTTGACTTTTTTCGCCTTTCAGTTCATCTATTTTACATTTGATGCCACAATGAAATTAGAATTTGTATAACGTATTCGCGCTTTAAGAATCATTGTATTAATTTTTATTTTATTAGCTTTGTCATACTTAAGTTATTTTTGGTTGCATTTCGGTCATACGCGTGAGCATCGTCATCGTTTAATATTATTTCGTTGCACATCCGGATTTTCTTGTGAAAATAGAATTTATATTGTGTTTGTCTGAACTCAACAAAACAAGGGTCAAGTGCAGAATGACTTTGGCGAGATAAGTTGGGGACCATTTTCTAAACATATAAATATTTCTTAGCGGTCATTGTTGCGTTTTCATGAACACTGTTTATAGCCGAAGTGCACGTCCGTAGCCAATCTCATACGAACATTTATGAGGTCTTCTCGTTGTGAAGTCACGTAGCTTTACATGCTTCTTACATTTTTATAACATCTGAATGTGTACATACGCTCCAGATAGTTTATATAGTATTAATATTATTTTCCAGTTATTGTTAATACACTTCACTTTGCTTTTTGAAGTAATAGAAATGAACAGTTGTACACATTGATGTATATAACAAAGTATCATTATTCCTATTGCATAGTACATTATCATCTGTCATAACTGTTATTATTAATTCAGTGATTATCACTTCCCGTATGAAAATTTTTGCATATCTTTAGTTTTCGAAGGTTTCTGAATATTTTCGTATACCTTAGAAAAAATTTATGTATTTGTATGCGTATGCGTGTGGGCGGGGGTGTGTACGCGTGTATGTGTATTTCAAAAGTGTGTATTTTAAATTTTTAAAGTTTTTTTTTTTGCTAATTTGTTGACAAAAATCAATAATTCTTTGCATGCATTGTTGAGTCTGTCCGACTAATCTTCCGAGCTGATCTACATATTACTATTTCGACATTATAAACTCATTTTATTGCTATAAACAAATTTTATATCCTATTTCACACTTCACTACAATGCAACGTGAAAACAAATTGCGCGCAATAAACTTTGCAAAGTACGCATAATCTAAAATTAAAGTCCATTAGTGGGACCCGTGTATATATTATGGAGCGAGAGCCTAATCCCTTGAAAGAGGGATTAACAGAGATAGAAACTAAAATTGTATCAAGGATGGTAGACCCATCAAGATCAAACTGGGTCAAGCTTCTATTTAGCCTATACCACAAGGTATAAATTTTGCGATTATAAATTAGTTACAATGATCGAACGAATGCTGCGAACTATTCTGCTAATAATGCATACTATGTTTCATTACATATATTTTTTTATAAATATAAGTTAGTCTTTCTTACTAGATTACAAACTGCCACTCAATACGTGTATTAATAGTTTTCATAAATTATGTTCAAATTAAGTTTTCAATGTATCTTAGGAATATTATTACTGAAAAATTCTATTTAACGATATGCATTTATATATATATATATATATATATATATATATATATATATGTACATAAATATTAATTTATAATGATTATGATTCAAGTATTTTATGGTGGCAGATAATACTATAATTTGTTTAATTATAGTGCTTACATTTTGATACTATTATTGTAAAAAAGAATCATTACCAAATTGTCCCCCTAATCCACTTGTTCACATTTTTGGTGATCATTAATGATAGTATAAATAATTTCTATTTAATACTCGTTAGTCATATAATGGTACATTACCTTTAACTGAATACTTTGTGAATATAATTTAGTTGAAAAATTGTATCCTTTCAGCAAAAGCATATAAATATATATGTATATATATATATATATATATATATATATATATATATATATATATATATATATATATATATTATATATATATATATATATATATATATATATATATATATATATCTTGAGGATTTTTTTATTCGACGTTGAAACTTTGAAATTGAATTCAATAAAATAGCCAGTGCGTCGAATGTAGAAATGTTTATACGTTTCGAGACTAGATCTGTCTCATCATTCAGCTAAAAGAAATATTCAATATAAGGAAAAGTTTTAGAATTAAAAATATAACATTAGAAAAATTAATTAAAAGAACCAAATTATACGAACCAGACCAGGAGAAAACACATGTTACTATGACCACAAACACAACAATCACAACAATCACATGCTACTACTGTAGCAAAGCAAAAACAATTTAAAAAAGAAATTATAATAATTCGATTTGATATATATATATATATATATATATATATATATATATATTATTTTACCATACGCATATACGCAAATTATGATTTTTTGTTCACATTACCTAACCGCAGCAGAATCCGCACAACGAATTATTTTGCAAAAATATAGTATACAAAATGCTAATTTTGGAATGTCTTAACTAAGGTATTTCCGGTCTTTTTAGTAGCTCTCTTTCTCTTTAATTAACTTTTCCATGTATTTCTTTTAATACAGTTCCATGTATGTAGTTCTTTTCACTTTAATTAAGCCTCTCATAATTAGCCTTATACTAGTAAAATCATAACATTTAATAATTAAAAGGATAGTAACGGATGATATCAAAATGAATCGCTACATAATATCAAATATATTTACAATTGATTTACATATTAATCATATGATTTAAATCTATCATCTCTAATGCATTATATACCCATGTAGAAATTAATATGGTCTGAATCTACAAGCAATATACAATCTACATTGGTCAAATTTGAAACCAATATCGGCTGGTCATAAAAATTGAACATTTTTTATATTGAGGCCATATAGGTAAACCAACAATTGGTCTATATTGGTCTATATTTGGAAATTTGGAACCAATGTTGCCTACGAATTGTTGAATGTTGGTAAGGTAATATACAATTAGACAGAGAGCTGGTAAACATTTAGAATTATTAATTATTGAATTATTCTGAAACTTATAACTGATGTTGAAATATTACACAAATATTTGAAGATTTGAAGTTGAAATAATATAACGCATAAATCAATATCATTTATTTAACAATAAAACAC